CTAAATTAGGGACGGCTAACGCAGATAGCTCTCGTGTAGCTTTGCGCGAAATCCGTAACAAACAAACAAGGGTGACTGGAAAATTACTTAGTGACTGCCAGAACCTTTACTGACGTCGGCTCAGATCACGGTGAGGTGAAGGAGAGGATCGTTGACAGTATTAATTGTCTGGTGAATACTGCTAATTTGTAATTTTATTAATTTAGAGTATTAAGTTCCATCAATAAGCTTCATTTTTGACATTTGTGACCTTTGGGGTCAATCAGCTTTTGATTTCATTCGTGACGTAACAATGTTATTATTGAGCTTGATATTCAGTCTGCTCTCCACTCAAGACTTTTATGTACTCAAAACTGCCTTCGGTATTTCTGTATTTTTTAGGAATGGTATTTTATGTGACATATGGGCTACATGCCCAGGTCAGAGAACCCCTCCCTAATTTAGAACTGTTAACCAGAGAGAAGGTAGCCAATTAGAAGTATCTGACTGTATGGTTATAACACACACTCAGCTGAAAGTACAAAGCATGTTTAGCATCATATCGTGGCTCGAACTTTGGGTCTGGCGACATGCAGCCCGTCACGTTAATCACTAAGTCGCTCTCGGCTCAAAGAACCTTAGATTTACTATAGCTATTATAGTTTTCCAGTGCTTCATGCTCATTTTGTGTTATAAATGTGGTGTTTAGTTACCTTTCAAATAACACTGAGTTGTCTTCTTGAACCGAATTTCTTATTGGGCACGATTTAAAAAATACTATCATAACACATTTGCCGTATTATTATACCCTCCTAACACATTTGTCGTATTATTATAACCTCCTAACACATTTGTCGTATTATTCTCTAATATAAAAATATCTATTCTACATTTGCGTATAAAGCATCTACAAATCATGCAAATTGGTAGCCCATTCATAACGTCAAGTTGTGCTAATATTTTCATTATGCCTAACAGGTAGCAAGTAAGTTATGATAACTAGGTTTGGAGACTTTAAGGGTGAGATATTGTTATTATTTATGGGATTAGTACCAGCTGTTATCATTAGGCTTTCTCACAGCCTTGAACGACTGTAACCTACCTTTGTAACTATGTCTTAATCATAAAAATCTCAAATGATAAATCCATTGAAAGTCATATAAACACTTTGCATCTTCGACTCATTTATTGAACTCACGAGTCATTAACGTGTGATACATTTAATTTTGATTGGTCGAAAATATGACTATCTAAATAATTAAGTATTACTCATTAGTGCGATTTTATAGCTGAACTAGCTATGAAGGATATGTTAGTATTCGATGTACATTAAGTGTGCAATGCTTCGGATTTAATGAAAATTGTATCAAATTTTTCAGCCCTTACTAAAACCCCTTTAATTTTTCCGAACATAAGCACAGAAAAAAATCATTATGATTTTTACATGATATCAATTAGTGAATATAGAGAATAGCATATAAATATGTATGATTGTACTATAAGCATTTTCAGGCCTGACGGGTAGAGTTCTGGAATGTGAATCTGCTATTCCGTGTTCGAGTCCCGTTACTGATGGAGTAATGTGGTAATAAAAACAATGCTGAGCCTCCATATTGAGATAATGCCACCGTGTGCTAATATTAAATATATTTAATATTTAAAAAAGGATTGGAAATATATTAGAAAGGAACGGAATTAAATCACAATATACGTTTTTAGCAGTTTAGTGTTTGATTGGCGCTGATGGTAACTGTGAGAACCCGTTAGCTCTGTCTTCATAGGAAGATTTCAAGACAGCTTTATCACACGTTTTCGTTACCATAAAATGAATTACACATCAACGCATTGGTAAAGTTTATAAATGTACGTTTGTTTGTTTCGAATATCTGCGCAGAACTATTTATGCATAGCCCTCTCAAGTTCTGGATTGAAAGACTACAAGGAAGACAAACAGCGCCCAACGCGGACATATTGAGCTATCCTAGTAGTAGTAAGATTTGACCGTCACTGTTATAGACCCAATTCACACACGGAGACATTTTTCGGTAACGGGACAAGAACCATGGACTCTCGGATTCACTGGATCATACCTGACCCGTCTATAAGAAGACAATGTAATGATGAGAAATTACAGAAATAGCAGCTTTACTCAAATGCGAACTAACAACGAGAAGAGGGAATCTTCAATAACATTTTTCAGTAACGGGACAAGAACCATGGACTCTCGGATTCACTGGATCATACCTGACCCGTCTATAAGAAGACAATGTATTGATGAGAAATTACAGAAATAGCAACTTTACTCAAATGCGAACTAACAACGAGAAGAGGGAATCTTCAATAACCGCGGCACTTGAAATTCTCTTCTGTGTTATTGACGAGAGTAGCTTGTTACGAAAATGAGGGAATGACAGGCAATTTTTCTCACGACGACACACTACTTTTTAAACAATACTTTGTTCTGGATTTATAAGTAACGTGTTCGTGGTGTAAAGAATGTAATACATACGCCTGATGGTGCTATGCATCATTTAATAATTTATAGGCTAAAGTTAGCCACAGTATGTGTTTTTAGCTGCGGCATAGCGGCTTAGAGAATGGCTCTGAGTTTTTCAAGTAGAAAGTTTTAGTTCACAGCTCCGTCATTTCTTGACCAATTTGAGATCTAATTACAGTTTTGGAGTCAGGAGGTCAAACCCTTTTGAATGATGTATCTTACCACGTGCAAGGTTTCATAGATTAATTCATTCTAATCCTACCTAAAAGAATTTCAATTTGAGGGTAGGCTGGTAGAGATCCTGATGAGTAATAAAATCGAATCGGGTATACGTGCGCCTCACGCTTGGTATTTCTGGTGCACAAAAAATATAGCTAATAAAAAGGAAAAGAGGTCTCATAGATTAATTTACTCTAATGCTGCCTAAGTGTAAAAACATCTTCAATATAATTGTGTTTGTATATAGTACAAACTAATTAGTGGAAGATGGCGGAAGATATTTCATGTCTCATACGCTTCAACTGCATGCAAAGTTGATTATTTTGATTTATCGCTTTGTGGTTTCTGAGGTCATTCTGAGCATTCAGTGTTTTAAATTATGTTCTTCAGTGCTTTAAATTATGTTCCTCTAACCATTGAAGCGAATCCGGTTTCAGTGAATGTAGGCACAAAACGTAGCCACGTAAAAGTCTGATCAACTTGACACATTACATGCACTGATTTATTACAATCTAAGTTTGTTTTTTTAATAAATAGCTTATTCCAGTCTTTATGAATAACTTCATTCTCATTGTGTACGGCGTATTATTCAGAAACTTGCTGATATCAGTGCTTCACAATGTCTTGCGATATTCGTGTTTGTAAAGAAAACACTATTTTATTGTATCAACTTTCAAAAAAATATGACTTCAAACATTTAGCGGTATGTAAGTCATGGTCAAAGATAGATCGGAAATTTACCTAAGGTCCAAACAACGACAAGCAAATAGGATCAACCTTACATATACCTTTCCATATTGGTGTAAAATTAAATACTATGTTACATTTAATTCCAAATTTTAACCAAGGTTCGAACCTAGGTAATCTCATACCTAGCTACAGCCAAGATTTAAACAGAGTAATGGATTTTTTTTCAAATGTTTTATTTGGGTTTCATGGACTAATTTCTTTCTATGTTTTATACTTTCTAACATGATCTTTCCACAGGAACTTACTGCCAATATGAAGTATCTTCGACCACCTGTACAATTAGCCAACTCGGAAAATCAAGAAAGTTTAGATTTTATCCACAACTTAGATATGATGGATAAATATACCTTCCCACAAGTAAGGATCAAAACTTCAAATACAAAAAATATTCCTGATCATTAAACAATCTAAAGTACTATAAAAAAATAACTGTTTCTAAACTAAACGTCAAACGTGTTTTAATGGAAAACAAAAACACATTGAAGTAGACTATATGAATGAAAGTTCAAACTTCATCATTGACGAGAACTCAAAATCCGTGCCAACTAAAAAAAGCACTCTTTGTTGTTTTCAAAATAAGCAAATTAATTACAGGACCCTAATAATTTTGAAATTACTCTTGATAATCAATATATAGCAAAACTGTATCGTTATTGATCATTAAATACAGACTAGATTGAGATTTGATAAACAAAATATGAGCATATGCAGACTAAATAGTTAAACGGTTCTGATTAAAGTAAAATACAGCTTAATGCAAAGCATGCATGATTTGTAAGACAGAATAAACGATTATTATGACTCACTGTGAAGCAATGTTGTATAATTATGCGATTAAGAGTCATCGTAGACTTGCTTTTATAAACAGGCTTATAGGCATGATTACGAAAAGGGAAGCAGTTTGTCCCTCTTTTTGGTGAGATATAGTATAGAAATGATGACATTCACAATTATTATGTCAGACTGTGGGATATAGTATAGACGTGATGACATTCACAATAATTATGTTAGACTGTGGGATATAGTATAGACGTGATGACATTCACAATAATTATGTTAGACTGTGGAATATAGTATAGACGTGATGACATTCACAATAATTATGTCCCACTGTGAGATATAGTATAGAAATGATGACATTTACAATAACTATGTCAGACTGTGGGATATAGTATAGACGTGATGACATTCACAACCATTATGTTAGACTGTGGAATATAGTATAGACGTGATGACATCCACAATAATTATGTCAGACTGTGGGATATAGTATAGACGTGATGACATTCCCAATAATTATGTCAGACTGTGGAATACAGTATAGACGTGATGACATCCACAATAATTATGTCAGACTGTGGGATATAGTATAGACGTGATGACATTCACAACCATTATGTTAGATTGTGGAATATAGTATAGACGTGATGACATCCACAATAATTATGTCAGACTGTGGGATATAGTATAGACGTGATGACATTCCCAACCATTATGTTAGATTGTGGAATATAGTATAGACGTGATGACATCCACAATAAT